TAACCGTACATTTGAAAATCAAATATTAATTCAGGTAGAGAACTGCCAAGGATTACGCACGTCGTTAAGTCATCTCATCAAGGACGAAGGTCGTTGTTTTTTCGGGTAGGTTCCGCGAGTTTTTGATATAATCAATTAATATCTAGAAACGATTAAAAACCTGTAACATTTATTACACTATAAAGGGAATTATTGTGCAAATAGATGACTTTAAAACCTCATTGTGAAACGCGCGTTTTCATCGCATAAATAATTGTAGTCGTGTTCGGTCAAGGACATATAAAATTAAACATATTTCGCCACAAAAAAATCAGCTTTGTCGCCGTTAGTGAACAAAAGGGGATTCAACTTGATTCTTCGAATCCGTAAGAGTTGGAGTGATAAAACGTTTGGTTTAGTAAACAAATTAATGAAATCTTGGTTTAATAAATAAAGAATTGAATGACAAACAGAAAAAGAAAATGAGAAAAAAGAAATGTAATTTAACTTGGCAAAAGGCAACATGACATTTTTCAATATCTGGTATTTATTTACTATCACTCTCTTGCCAACAGATTAATCGCGCCGCCGTTGCACCGACAAATTTAAGTGGAGCTTAGCTTAAGCGCAACTTAAAATCCATGGCAACGATTATTGAGACAATGGTTGCCATGGATTTTAAGCTACGCTTAAGCTAAGTTCCACTTAAATTTGTCGGTGCAAACGGCCATAACATTCGAAATCAGTAAGGGCTGGTTATTTGATTTTTCACCTCTTCTAAAAATCAAGTCTTTACAGAATACAATCACCATGCACTCACAAACAGGCACTTCACTTATTGATTATCGACTTTCAACACAGGAGTCCATTTCATCGAGAATCCTTGTGATCCAGGTAAAATTTCCGCAACAGTTTCTACTTGGGTTGTAGGGGTAGATACGCATTTCTGCAATTGTCCGGTCTTGAAGTCACAGTTAGGAATAGAAGGGACGCAATAGCAATAGCTTCTTATGAAAGTATTTGAATGAAATTTGATACATATGCACTTGGAATAAAGGAAAATCTAGCGCCAGTTTAAAAATTTTATTTTACCCATGCGCAGTGCCAACTTTTTTTATCCATGGAAGCATTTAAGTGAAATTTGATACTTTGGCGCTTGGAACAAAGGAAAACCTAACATTAGTTTCAAAATTTAGGTTTGCGCATGCGCAGTTCCAACTTTCTTATTTAGAAATGCATTGAAATGAAATTCTTCTTATAAACTGAAATTGAAATAGCATGTCCAAAATGGATTGCTCATGTGCAACGCTATCTCTCATATTTGTGGCCGGATTTTTACGATTTTAACAGAAGTTGCATCTTACAAATGGGAAATGAATGTAAGTGGAAATGCGCTTTATGTAAATCGTTTACGATTACTTTTTAACTTGTTTTAATAGGCGTTGAAACTGGATGACCACTCAACATTCTAAACCGGTTAAGAATTTTACGCGTGTATTATTCCTGGGAAAGAAAAATTGAACCATCGCCCAACTTTTGAATTTTCAATACAAGGACAAATTTTACATCACTGTCTTGCACCTGGAATTCTGGAAAGTTTTATTGAGCACAGCAAAATAAAGCCTTTTTCATCCTTTACGTGCACACACCCTCGACAGAGAGCGCACTTAGTCCATTTTGCAATCGAATCCGCAGGTTCCTTTTCCCTTATACTAAAAAAATGGATCTTGCTTTTGCTCTGATCTCTGCCCATATACATACTGAACACAAATTGTTCCGAATTTCCTTGCTAGTGCTCCACCTCTTACCTGAGTTGACAAACTCAAGACAATAATATTCTGAGCTAGAAACTCAAGTTTTTTGAAAGCTTGGGCGTTGCGTCTGAGTTAGTTCAGTATAGATTGTGTTACGTCCATACAGCAATTTACATTCAACTGAATTTTGTCGTGGAATTTCCAATTACACCAATTGGAATGTTCCTCCTATATCTATCAAAACTCGCGAAACTTCAATGACAAATAATCTAGATAATAATAACTGAGTTCTCCTAGTAAAACTACGCACACGGCACACTTCCGTTAAGATCGTACACAACGAAGACCCGCTCATTACTGGGCCCATAACCTGATGAGATTAAACAAATAAAGAAGTCTTGCACGAATTGAATGGTAAACAATTGTAATTAATTATAAAAAGAATCGTCATTTAATTTGGCAAAACGCAACATGACATCTTTCAATATCTGTTATTAACGATCCTCGAGATTGTTTATAATGTTGTATAGCTGTCTGTCTGTCCGTCTGTTCGTGTGCACGATAACTTTGTGTAGAAACGTCCGATCGCTTTGAAAATTGATACAGCATATAAGAAAGGTCGCTACTGTTTTTCGGCTACGTAGACTAACGGGTCAAATACTTACAACCAAAAAACTGCTCAAACCTCCAAAAAAAGGGTTTCTTGCATAATTCTTGTTACAAAGAAAATATGAATGCCCGGTTTTCTGTTAGTAAATAATAATAAATAATTTTTTTTGAAGAGATATTTAAAAGAAATTTTATATGTGGGCACCTCGAATAAAAGTAAAACTAATGCCGAACTAAAAAATTTGTTGTGCGCATGCGCAATCCCATATTTTTTATTTAAGATATGAAATTTTGTATATAGGCACCTCCAATTAAGGTAAAACTAATGCAGATTCAAAAAATTTGTTTTTCAAGCTATGATGATCTGGTGGGACAGTATCAACCCTTTAAGGTGTGTTGTAAAAATGGTGTATGTGTGAAGATGCGAAGATCTCGAGGATTGTCGTTAACATTAGAACATTCTCTTTAAGGACTGGTTATTTGATTTTTCCACCAACAGTTCCTTTTTCTCACTATTTATGTGCTTACACAACGACAAGTTAAATCGATGGCTAACTAATGCAAATATATTTCTGTGCAGGGTGGTTGAACTTTGTGGCTCCTCATTGAGATCTCCGTAACGGTAAGAGATAGAGTTTGGGTTAAATGGGGGGCAAAGTTTGTCCCTTTTTTAGACTAAAAATAACTGAGATATCACCGAAAAACTGAACATGTTAACATTCGTTTTCATGTTCCCTAAGTTAAACCCTCGGAAGTGGACGGTTCTAGATGTTAGCATATTCTATGGGAATCGTCCATTTTCCGTCGTTTAAGCTAGGGAAAATTAAAACGAAACTTGACATTTTCAAATGCTTCTTTTGTTCACAAAAAGGGACAACTTTGTCCCCATTTAACCAACACTGTATCTATCGCCGTTACGGAAATCCCAATGGCGAGTCACGGATTTGAACCACCCTATACATTGAACTCGTTTCAAGAAAAAACATTTTCAGCGTTTTTCGACTCCGTTATTTCAAAAAGAATGTCGAATTGTTTTAATTTGAGCAAAATTTCGAGTAAACTCGATACATGAAACTATGATCCTAAATCGAACTCTGTTCTTTTAAACTATTCCTTCAGTTCGGCCATTCCTGATTCCCCCCCTGAAATACTTTCGACCTCGCACATGATTTGCGACGAGGCAACAAACACTTAAAATCTAAGAAAGTTGGCCGATATGAAGACTCCATTATGTGCAGCACTTGTCGGGAGTTCTTCCATATTGCGTGCGTCGATATTGAAATTGAGGAATTTCAGAAACTTGTTTCAAGTAATAGCGACAAAGCATGGAAATGCAACGCCTGCGCTACTGGATGCATGTGTAACCAAAAAATCCATGCATTGTTTTAATTTGAGCAAAATTTCGAGTAAACTCGATACATGAAACTATGATCCTAAATCGAACTCTGTTCTTTTAAACTATTCCTTCAGTTCGGCCATTCCTGATTCCCCCCCTGAAATACTTTCGACCTCGCACATGATTTGCGACGAGGCAACAAACACTTAAAATCTATGCGAGACTCACCAAAATGAGAGTCTCACGTGACACTCCAGTGGGAGGCTGTAGTTCACCAGTGTTAACTAAGAAGATTTTCCTGCTAAACAGTGACTTCGAGGTGACTCAAAAAAAAGTCACATCTTTGAGGTCCTCTAACCAATCATGAAGTAATTAACAGCGTTGATTGATAACAATCAACCTTACAATACAGAAAAGTGTTCAAAGCCTCCCGGAAACATGCCATTACATCACACTCTGCATTTCTTATACAATTGCCGCAACAGTGCGGTCCACCTGCATAATACATCAAAAGCAGTTTATTCACCCAGCGGCGACTTTAAAGTGGAGCGTCGTTACCATAATTAATTTACGGAAACAATTTTTCCAAATTACATCACCCGCGGTATTCTCAAGGTCTTTCCACACTCGATAATCGAGTTTTAAACGCGTCAAAAAACTTTCAGAGATAAGAAAAAATTGTACCACACACACTGAAAGGTTTGAAATAGAAGGTGAACAAGTAGCCGGTACTTATTCGCAAGCAAGGTGTGGTTATGGCATTTTTTTCAATTAACTAAACTAGAACTCCGAGGAAACCGAGCAGGAAATGAGCTTGAACCAAAAAAGGTCGGCCCGCAAAACGAAACAAAAAGTTCTCGTTTTCGGACATTTGTAGAACTAGACTTCTGGACAAGTAGAACGCGATAATAAATTTGTGTTGTTTTTATAACCGGTTTATTATACATTCAGAAGGTGCATCAACCGAAACTATGTTACGCAGCCTGCCCACTGCACTCGTGTCTTCAATATGGGTTTGAGGAATTAGAAGAAGTGACGAATTTATCACGGTCTCAATATGGATTATTGAGGTCAAACTATCTCACGACGGTAGCTTAATGGGCGAATCGTGATCTATAATTGCATCGGTTCACGATTGTGGTTTCTGCAATTCATCAATTAGACAGTTGCACTTTCTGCACGAGCGAACTGCAGGTCGTGAATTTGCTAATGTTTCATCCTCAAACTTGCCTAAGGTACGACCTTTTACTTTACCACTTAATCTAGAGCGTGCCAATTTTTTGCACATGGTATTATATAACGTTAGAAAGTTGAATGCTCACCATTTTTGAATGAATATTAAAGTCCAAAACTTATCGCACAGAATATACTCCAAAATAAATCGATCGATCACACACTACACATTGGCTCCGATTTTCTACAGAAGGGCGCGAGATTCGAACCAAGAGTCTGTGTCAAACTGTTAACGCAAAACGTACTCCAGTGTCAATTGCAAGAAGCACACGAACCCCTACCAAAATATCCCTACAACATTTTACCTCTTTGTTAGTCTTGCGCTATAATAAATTTTGTGTCTGTTTTTATTTTAACATAAACCACAACAATTCGAAAGTTGCCTTTTGCCTTTCTCGTTCCCTCCCATTGGAAGTGCGGAGAACGTCTCGTTCTAGTCGAAGGCCTACATTACAGCCTGAAATACTATTTTACCTTTCTTTTCCTAGTTTTATTAATAATATCGTAAAGTATAGAAAATTATAATAAAATTTTATACACTCAAATAAACAATGGCACCGTTAAGTTGTATACGCAGGAAATCTTCGAGCGTGCTCACAATTTCCGATTGGCGCATTATAATTCCGAGCGCACTTTCGAAAAAATTACTACAATTACGCGCATTTAAATACAAAGGGAAAACTTCCGGGAATGTGAAAAATGCGACAAGAAAGTGTTCGATTCGGCTCTAATGCGTGTATAATGGATGGGATTCTCCTTCTGTAACCTACACTAATCTCATAATTATGAACTAAATCCTAGATTAGTACCAAGCCGTCGGCGAATTTTCTGATTTGCATTAATGTTTCACGCATATAGCGCTTTATGGGAGGTTAACATAATTACCTTTCGTCTCGTTTAATTGCTTTAAATGAGGTGGAAAGGTTCTCACATTTGTTTTTCGCCTATTATAATTATAAATACCAGCCGGTAACTAATTTGAATTTTACGCCCATTTACCATTACAATACGGAAACTTGATTCCTTCCTCAGTTTGAGTACTCTTATGTGCATCAGGAGTCCACTGTGTCACTACTTTGGGAAGTTGCCGCTTTTTTGTCGTTAATTAGTAAATATAATATTGTAGATTTAACAAAGCATTTTAGCCCTTGAGTTATAGTATTTTACATTATTAGCCAGGTAAGTGAGTTTTTACTGGCGATAGGAGAAGTTGACTGGCGAGCCGTCAGGCGAGCCTGTCATCTCCTAGAACCAGTAAAAACTATTACCTGGCGTATAATGTACAATATTTTATTTGTTACTCATTTATAAACAATAGTAAACGTACATTAGTTCTTCAATTGATCTCCAAAAATGTCTAAAATATCATGTTATCCATGTAACAGAGACTTATTATTAATTCTGGCCAATGAAATTACTAGATTACTAACTTGTAAAATTTTTACAGGTCAGCTGTCAGTTTTACAAGTCAGTAGCGTTTAAACATGACGTTTACCCGTTTGCGTTTTGTCTTGTTAATCAACGTTTACAACTGAGTAACATATAAAATTTAATACAGTAGGTACAACTTAAACTTATTCCTTAAACTGAAATAAATGACAGCATAAATCCCCAAACACTTTAAAATAAATGATCGCATTACGACTTAAAAGGGTTGTGTCAGTTTCCTTACTTATTTATTCGTTAGCAAAACAACAACTGGCATTTCCCCTAACTTCTGTTTCAAATACCTTAAAACCTAATGGCACAGATTCTGTCCCACCTAGATCAGCATAGCTTTCAAAACACATTTTTTGAATAGGCATTAGTTTTATTTTTACTCGAGGTATATACAGCGGCGGATTTAAATTTTTTGCGCCCCTATTCACACCGAAAGATATGCGCCCCAAAATAATTTTTAAATTGCAATAAATTTTAAAATAAAAACCAAATTATAACGTGAAATTTTTAAAACTAATATGAAAAGAAACTATTGGAGTAAATTTAGACTTGGAATGGTGCGGACGTGTTACTTATCGCTCTTAACAATTATTATAGGTGTATTTATAAAAGTAATATGTGTTTATAACTTACTTCATTATCATATAATTAAGATATGGCAGTAACAAATCGCGGTATTGTGTGTGTTAGTTGTGATAAGAAAGTTGGCCGATATGAAGACTCCATTATGTGCAGCACTTGTCGGGAGTTCTTCCATATTGCGTGCGTCGATATTGAAATTGAGGAATTTCAGAAACTTGTTTCAAGTAATAGCGACAAAGCATGGAAATGCAACGCCTGCGCTACTGGATGTGTAACCAAAAAATCCATGCTTCCATCTGATCCTGAGTTAGACACCCCAATTCAGTCTGTTACATTGGACCAACTATATAATCTTATGATCTCCTTAAAGAATAATCAGGATTCGTTTGCCAAATCATTGGATTCATGAAAGCTCAGAGGTAAGGCTACTGTGAAATGGACCTGGCCGCCCTCAAAGATTGACTATTTGACCTATTGAGGGTGGAGCTCCAAAATTAAACTTACTTATATAATTATACTCGTCATTCATGGACAAAGATTAATTTGTAATAAATAAAGAAAAACAGATTAGGGGCTACGCCAGAATAGACCGGGCCGCTCCCAGGATGACATCTATTTGCTCTTTTTAAGAGTGACGCTCAAAAATTGCAATTACTTGTAAATGAAAGCTCTTAAATAACTCGTAATTCATGCATAAAAATTAATTTGAAATAAGTAAACCATAACACGGGAGGGGCTACGTCCAAGTGGAGCTGGTCGCCCCATCGATTATATATATTTGCTCTTTTAAGAGTGGCGCTCAAAAATCGAAAATGCTTGTAAATGAAAGCTCTTAAATAGCTCGTAATTCCAGTACAAAATTTAATTTGAAAAAAGTAATTCTGATCAGTGGGGGGGCTGAGTCCAAGTAGACTCGGCCACCCCATAAGAAATGTTCGATTCCTAGTGATTAAAGCGAGCTCTAAAATTTTAAGCTTGCGATATGAAAAACTCCTAAATAGCTCATAAATTGGATACCATTCTTAAATTGATTCACAATGGTGGGGGGGCTAGGTCCAGCGGGGTATTGTTTGGAGGAGGAGCGAAGCGACGACTCCAATTATTGTCTGAGAACGGTAACCCTTAACGTTCGACGTGCTTATAACATTTTTTGCGCGATCGAAATTAAAATTATTCAACCAATATAAATATGCACTAAGAAATTAACGAGCAGAATAAATCGAAATGATCGAAGTGGTATGGTGTACATCACTAGGTACCAGTTTATTTGTCAAAATTGAAATTAATAATTTCATAAAAATGTGCATGTGTCTGATGTAGTTTACTAGCTTTGCACTTCCTTTATGACTTTATGAGCGTCTTGCTATAGGAAACAACAGCACAAATTGTACGTTTAATGTACCTAATAATTAAAGATTAAATGTAATGTAAGACTGTTGATTTTTAAAAAGGCGTCGGTAAGTATTTTTGCTGTTCTGTTTTTAGATCGGTAAGTAATTTTGGCATCGTCGTAATCATAGCAACTGGTAAATTCTACGTACTGTCATGGAAACACCCATGGTAAATAGTCAGAAATGACCGATCGCGCAAAAATATTAACGTCGTTACTGCTGTGGGCCAGGCGGTTTGGTTATCTGTAAATAAAAGTATGATAGACGTGTGTCATAGGTTATCCAAGAATCCTAATAAACCGAATAAACCGAGAGCTATCATTGTCAAATTTGTCAGCAGATTGGATAAAGATGAACTTTTAGCGCGCAAGAAGGTAAAACGCAACGTCCTTAACTTAACTTTTACGAATCGCGTGTTGTTTGCTAAAGCAAGAGAATATGCAAAACGGAACAATATTAAGTATGTTTGGGTACGTAACGGACACATTGCTATGCGTAAAGTGGAGAACAGCAAGATATTTGTCATTAAATCTGAAATACACTTTAATGATGTTCACTAAGATGTATATAACTTTTCTCTTTCTCATTTTAATTAGATTTTATTTACTTAAGTACCAAAACCATGTTAACAACATAATATTTTTGATGATTTTGTATTACCATATTTTCTCACATTTTGTAAATTATAAGAGGTTAAAGATTATGTATGTGTATATATCGTTATTTTACTTGTGTATATTATTTTTTCTTTCAGTTAAATGTCTAGTATTCTAAAGATATCACACTTAAATGTACGGTCATTGTTAAATAATTTTTCTGATTTTAGAGACCACGTACTGACTGCAAATTATGATGTGGTGGCGGTAAGCGAAACGTGGTTGTCGCCTAATATTTTGGATTATGTAGTACAAATACAGGGATATAAATTTATTAGAAAAGATAGAGTCACTAGCACAAGAGGTTGAGGAGTTGGTATGTACATCAGAAATGATATTACTTTTTCCGTTATAAATGTTGCAGCCACATGTGCAGCTATAGAACAAATTTGGGTCAAAATTAAAATAAATGGGTTAACACTATCACTTGGAGCTATATATAGGAGACAGGAATTTAGCTGCGCTGAATTTTTATCAGTGTTGGAGGATTCTCTCACTGCTCTTTTGCCCAGTACCGATGAACTCCTCTGCCTAGGAGATTTCAACATAGACCTCCTAAAATTTAATGATGTGCAGTGTGTACAATTTAATGTGATGATTGATGCCCTTGGTTTGACGCAAATTATATCAGAACCCACAAGAATTACTCGAGATTCGGCTTCGCTAATAGACTTAATTTTAGTACATAATAATCAGTCTGATAGCTCAAAATTAGTGCATTGTGGCGTTGTCGATATGCATCATGTTTCCGATCACTCATTGATATATTGCGATTATCCATTACATGACAATTTAACTAAATACAATACTTTCTATACTTACCGCAGTTCTGAATATTTTGATCTCAATGATTTCCAAAATGACCTAGAATCTATTAACTGGCACATGATTTACGAAATGCATGATATTAACGATAAAATTGAGTTTCTTAACGAGTCCATTCTCTCCCTGTTTAGTAGGCATACCTTTATAAAAATTATAAAAATTTCTAAACCATATGCCCCTTGGCTTACAAATAACGTCAAATTTATGATGGGACTAAGAGACAAAGCATATAGGAAATTTAAACGTACACACAAAGCAGCCCACTGGGAATATTACAAAACGTTACGTAACTATACATCTTTTGCAATTAAGCAAGATAAAAACGCGTATTTGGAATACAAGCTTCGTAATACTTCCTCTAGAAACTTATGGAAAGAACTAAAAAAATTAGACATTT